ATCTGCCCTTGGCAAACCCACATTACTTGGTCCCATAGTTAATAACAGATTATGTGAGTTGCTTGGCCCCTGACCTGTCTTATCTGCACTCAACCCTTCCAAATCCTGCTGCGTATTTGAGGGAAGAGGTAAATTAGTGCCAACTGTTGACATCGGCATTTCTGAAAGAGTTTCTGTTTTTTTCCTTTCCTTTGTTGGCCGTGGATGTTATTATTATTATTTTTTTTCCTTTTGTGATGAGTTTTTTTTTTTGCTTTCAGTTTTATATTTTTCCTTATTACAGACTGCTGTAGTAGGTCCCTTCTATCCGGTTGTGCATCTTCCATTTCGACCGAAGGAACTTGCTCCGCCTTGGTATTCTGATTATCTGTGATATCAGTAATGGAGAGCATCCCGAAATGAGAGTTTGATTTTTCTGATTTTTCTGTTACCGTGGTTCCTTCTACTGTTCCCAATTCTATTTCGCCCCCCATCCGCTGATTTACATATTGCTGTGGTTGAGGGTCCGGAAGTGATCTGTCATTGGGCCTCCATTGCAGCTGTCGTGCTGGACTCTGCTTATACGGTATAACCCTGGTCTCTCCCTGCACCCCTGGGCTGCCGTGTGCCTCTACCGACTGCACTGTCTGATCACCCTTGTTTTCTTTACTCCTTGCTACCGTAAAAAGAGGCTTGATGGTAACCTCAGCTGGTGAGTAGGAATCCGGTGGCTTGGTGTCCCAATTGGGGACCCCCTGACTTTCCCAAGTCCACCCTTTGTTCTCCCCACCCCTTGCAGTACCCTCAATGAGGACCCAACCCTCATGACCTGGATCCACAGTTCTCCATAGATTATTATGGAAAGGATCCCAAATCAGTATCCCCGTAACTCTGTTTTTTCGGGTGGGGTTATGAGAACAACTTGTATCTGTGCACAAATGGCCATATGCCTTACACCTAAAGCACCATGGCCGTAGTTTATGTGCAATATGAATGCGAAACTCTTTACCACCCACCCTGGATGGAATGACATCATCCATAATAAACGGTTGCAGGGAGAGGGTCAATAAAGTCCACAATCTCATGTGTCGCTCCAAAATCATAGATGAATGCTGCTTGAATCTCTATAGGAATGTGTCAAAACTTAACCCAATAATGCTCTTCCATCAGTTGTGCACGCCGCTCATCTGGTCCTTGTTGTGTTGGCGACCATGGGTATATTTGGACTTCTGACCTGTCACATCGCAATTTTTTCCACTGTTCGATTGTTTGCTTGTCCGTCAGATGCAGGCATAATACTGTAAATATTGTAGAATTTACGGGTTGAATGAGAAAGTCTTCAACCGCTGCTTCCAGACTTCCTTTGAAATACGCAAGCCTTTTATTGATCCATTTAACTTTATCGTTCCTTGACTTATGCGCCGCGTCATCATAAAATACCCAGTTGTTAGTGTAGGCCCCAAGCCAGCAATTACGAGACGCCACACAAAGCTGATAGGGAATGAAGCTGACCCCCTGGAAAAAAAAGTATATAACACTATCAGCACTTCCCGTCAATCAGCGGCTTCATATTCTGGAGAAAGACACCAATAGCTCCGACCTACCGTCTTCACCCCAATAGAACGTCCAGTCATTATAGCCGTATTTGGCACAACTTTCAGCCCAGATACGGCGATAATTACCGGGCGTTCTATTCGGGTGAAGACGGTAGGCATAGTTTTCTGAACTTTTCTCCGACCAAGAACAGGACAATATATATATAAAAAAAAAAAAAAAAAAAAAGAACAGGACAATATGATGATAACTTGTCTTCTAAAATGCAACGGAGTGACTGAAGATAGATTTTGCCAGAGTGAGCGGCGAAGTATGGGGTACGAGTATTTTCCTCGCCCTTCACAGAACATCCCACTCGGCTTCTTCTATGGACTAACCTCCCAGCTAGAGATTTCAGCAAACCTGAGAGGATCTGGTATGGTTCAGTGAGAGCAAGGTGACACTGCGGGCAATCTGGAAAGAAAGATGTGGTGTCACACACTATGATGCAAGGAACTCCAGAGAGAAGGTGTGGGGGGCTGCAACAAATAATCTCATTGAAGCAGAGATCCTCTGTACAATTGGCAAAAGGGTCAACCTGTTAATCCGGGGACGCTGAATCGGGGCGGACACGGAAGAGTAAATTCCAGTATACATGGCTAGCAAAAGGCAAGGTGGAAACAATACAAGGACTACACATCAACTGGAAGGACGGGCACAACTAGAGTGCTCATTGTTGGTAAGACAAGACAGTCGGCACGAAGAAGCCCTGAACGAGGCTGAATCCCATATGGACATGAGAGCCAGTGCTGGGGGATGGATGGGTGGATGGGGGGGTGTGGAAAGCAAATAGAAGGCCAACTACCGTCTTCGCCCGAAATAGAACGCCCGGTCATTATAGCTGTATTAGGCACAACTTTCGGTCCAGATGATGCAGCGATAACGACGGGGCGTTCTATTCGGGTGAAGACAGTAGCAGCCAATCCTCCTTCGGTAGAGCAATCAATGCTACCCAGATTGATGCGTAACCTTTAGACGAGAGATCAAGTTCAGGATGCCCTTGCTTTCATTGCTTTTACTGGCAGCTCACAACAGTGGTCT